GCACAGGAACATGCTCACTTCAGCCAAAACCTCTGCGCGTGCGTGGCTCCAGAGGGAAGGCCTGGAGAGCGACTCCTCCCGGTGACTCCAAGGCAGACGGGCTGGGGGGGAGGCCCTGGAAGGATCGGGGAGGCATTTAAATGCCTCCCCTTGCCTTCCCCGGCCTGTCCAAGGGCCGGTTTGCCCGGGCTCACAGCAGCCGCGGGGTGCCCGGGCAAGCCAAGGGAAGGCATAGGGGTGCGGCCTAATATGCTAATGAGCTGTGCGGTCAGACTGTGGCCTAATATGCTAATGTGTTTCTGCTATTGGGTGTGGCCTATTATGCTAATGAGTTCCTGCTGGCCCTTTTCTGCAAAAAAGCCCTGGCCATTCCACCTTTGAGGTCTGCCTTGCACACAGCCCTCCCGGTCGCTTTTTCCGGAGCAGCTCCCCACCACCACTCCCTGCTCCGGAAGGACACCCCAAAGGAGGTCAGCTTCCATACGCAGCCTGGGGAAGCCTTGCCCGGTGGTGTTATCCAAAAAGGGTTTTCAATGGCATTTAACAGGCAGGGATTTATCATTAGGAATGCTGGGGATCAGGGGTCGTTTTGTAGAAAAAGAGCTAGGGGAACTCATTAGCATAACTCATTGCAGGCAGGGGTGGGGAGAGGCGGGGAGGAAGCAACTTACCCTCCCTCTTCTCCTGCCTCCTCCTGGCTGAATGAGGGCCGGAAGCGGGGCGGCCGGAAGCAGGGGGCGGGGCTTCATCATGTGCCCCGCCCCCCGTACCTCACCCGGGGGAACTGCGATCCCCCGCGATCAACCGCGATCCCCCCCGAAATGACCTCTGCTGGGGATTATTGAACTTTTACCAGCCCATTGCTCCACATTGGTTTCAGATGGCCGTGTTTCTCTGGAACCTCTTGGACTACGTTTCCACACAGCTCACCTCGATCCCCTTACAAAGTGAACGGTGGGACCGAAGTGTGTTAACCACAATTTAATATAATGGCAGCCGGGGGGGGGTGTGTGTGTGTGTGTGTGTGTCTCCTTGGCTCGGCGCCAGATCATCTGCTATCTATGTGCACGTTCCCAAGTTTAATGGCTGGCCTCTCCGGTTGAAAGGCTCAGGTAGCGGGTGACACCATATGGCCTCCAGCTTGGGAATCTGGAGAGTTGTTGTCCATCAGAGGGAAAAAAAATAACAGCACAACCAAACCACACACACAGACGCACACTGCCACTGCTCAAAGCCGAATGCACAACACTGCTGATTGGCTGCCGAACAGGACGCACACCAAAACAAGAACTGGAACCAACAGTAAAAGCCAAATGCACACACAGCCCAGGAAATGCCGGCACTCTGACACACACTGTGGCCCCGAACTTTGGTTTGCTCTGTCCATTTATTAAAGTGGCACTGTAAATTCACAGGGCCAAGAGACCAGGTAGGAGAGCCAGCATAGCGAATGGTTAAAGTCATAGAATCATAGAGTTGGAAGGGACTTCCAGGGTCATCTAGTCCAACCTTCTGCACAATGCAGGGAATTCACAAAGACCTCCCCTTCCACACCGCCAGTGACCCCTGTTCGATGCCCACAAGATGGCAAAAAACCTCTGGTATCCCTGGCCAGGTTGGCCTGCAGAAAATGGCTTCCTGACCCCAATGTGGAGATCGGCATTTCCCTGGGCGTGTAAGAAAGGACCACGAGAACTAAGCACTGATGCAGCCCTGCCTGCCCTCCCTCTCATGATCTGCCGAAGTTCCTGCTGGCCTTTTTCTACAAAAAAGCCCTGGCCATTCCACCTTTGAGGTCTGCCTTGCACACACCCCTCCCGGTCGCCCGGTCGCTGACCTAGAGGTCAGCATTGCTGTCAGAGGGCCACCTAGCCTCTGTTCGAAAACCTCTAAAGAAGGAGAGCCTGTTCCACTGAGGATCCGCTCTACCTGCCAGGAAGTGGTTCCTAATGTTTAGCCGAAAACTGATTTAATTTCAACCCGCTGGTTCTGGTCCGACCTTCTGGGGCAACAGGAAACGACTCCGCCCCATCCTCTATGATGACAGCCCTTCAAGGACTTGAAGACGGACTAAGAGGTGGGAAACCCAGGTTCGAATCCCCACTTGTGCCATGGAAGCTCGCTGGGGGACCTCGGGCCAGTCACACGCTCTCAGCCCCACCTACCTCGCAGGGGTGTGGTGGGGATAAAATGGAGGAGAGGAGAAAAACGCAAGCTGCTTTGGGTCCCCACTGGGGAGAAAAGGCGGGATATACATATAAAGTAAATAAAACAGGAACACCAGAGGAGGTCGTAAGGGTGGATCCACTTCCTCCTGCACAAAAAAGGTCCTTTGTCTCTTGCAGCAGTGGAAGGTTTCTCGCGCCCGACAAATGTGCCTCCGCTGAACGCATGGAGGAGCAGCATCCAACCCATAGCGGCGCAAGATTCTTTGACTCAAAGCCCCAAACACACACATAAAATTACAGAGAGACCGCTCATGATGATAAAGGCTACTACCCGGGGCAGGTAAATGGAGCCTCCAGATTCAGAAGCAGTCTACCTCTGACTACCAGGTGTTCAGGACAGGGAATGGCAGAAGGCAGCTGCCCTCATGCCCTGCCCCTCTTGCCTTCCCAAAGGCCTCTGGCTGGATCACTGCTGGAAAGAGGGAGGGTGGACTAGACGGACCGTCGGCCTGATCCTGTCAGGCTCCCGTCGTGACTAGCAGTCACTAATTGAGAGTTCGTCTGGCAAGAGAGGTCAGGATTAATGGGCAGAAGGGAGGATTCTTTTCTGTTGGGAGAACGACACCCTCGGTCCCAGTCGAAAGCCAGAAGCCGTCACACCCAGTCTGCCGGAGAATCCCGGCTCAAAACTAACCAGGAAGAAGAAGAGAAGAGATTGGATTTATACCCCGTCCTTCACTACCCGAAGGAGTCTCAGAGCGGCTTACAACCCCCTTGCCCTTCCCCTCCCCGCAACAGACACCCTGGGAGGTAAAAGAAGAAGGAGAGATTGGATTTATCCCCCGTCCTTCACTACCCGAAGGAGTCTCAGAGCGGCTTACAACCCCCTTGCCCTTCCCCTCCCCGCAACAGACACCCTGGGAGGTAAAAGAAGAAGGAGAGATTGGATTTATCCCCCGTCCTTCACTACCCGAAGGAGTCTCAGAGCGGCTTACAACCCCCTTGCCCTTCCCCTCCCCGCAACAGACACCCTGGGAGGTAAAAGAAGAAGGAGAGATTGGATTTATCCCCCGTCCTTCACTACCCGAAGGAGTCTCAGAGCGGCTTACAACCCCCTTGCCCTTCCCCTCCCCGCAACAGACACCCTGGGAGGTAAAAGAAGAAGGAGAGATTGGATTTATCCCCCGTCCTTCACTACCCGAAGGAGTCTCAGAGCGGCTTACAACCCCCTTGCCCTTCCCCTCCCCGCAACAGACACCCTGTGAGCAATGCTCCCTCTAAGCTGTGGAGTCTTCTGAGCAAAAATTCGACTTTGTGAGCTCCTGGCATTAAAGTCGTGAGCAAGTAATTTGGCACAAATTAGTTTACTCTGGAGCCATCCTCCCTGAGCTAAGACAAAAATGTGTGAGCCAGAGGCTAAAAAACTGTGAGCTAGCTCACACTAACTCAGCTTAGAAGTAAAACTCCTTTCCCTTCCCCTCCCCACAACAGACACCCTGGGAGGTAAAAGAAGAAGAAGATTGGATTTATACCCCACCCTTCACTACCCAAAGGAGTCTCAGAGCGGTTTACAAACTCCTTTCCCTTCCCCTCCACACAGCAGACACCCTGGGAGGCAGGTGGGGCTGAGAGAGCCCCGTCAGAAACGGCTCTTTTCCAAGAACAGCTCTGACAGAACTACGGCTTGCCCAAGGTCATCCAGCAGCTGCAAGTGGAGGAGTGGGGAATCAAACCCGGTTCTCCCAGATTAGAGTCCGTGCACTTCACCACTACACCAAACTGGCGAATTCTTAATGCGTCTGCATGATTTAGATATTTTCTTTGCAAGGAGTTGTCGTTTGGCTTTTTGTATTTTCCTCCACCTCGACTCACTCTACCCTTTGATGGAGGATTTCCTTTGAAATGGTCTTCATATTATGTACGATCCCGTCGGTGCACACTGGACAGTATTATCTGTGGACTGTCACTGCCCCTAGGAGGTCTTGGGCTTGCGGACTATTTTGGATTGCATAACTTGGAGAATCCCGCCTCGGCAGTCTAGCTGTGAACGTTTTAAAGAAAGAACCCGCCCAGCTCTTTTCTGCTGCTCGCTGGGAGCAGGGGAAGACAAGCAGCCTCCCTCCTCGGGCGTACACAGAAAGGCCAAGATGCCACTTTCTTGTTATCTTTCCTTCTTTGTTCCCCGCGGGGAGAGACCCGACATCAAGGCGGATCCTCGGGAGCTGAACCAGCCTGACGTCCAAAGAGCCCGGGCTGTTCCCCGACCCCACGCTTTCCCTGGCCGCCCCCCTTCTCTCTCTGCAGACAAAGCGGCCCCGTCTCTCCACCGCACTACCAAGGCTTCCCATCCCTCTGAAGAACTGGGGCTCAGAGACGGTGGTGGTGCGGGGCTCCCTCGAGCGGGCCTCAAAGTGTAATCCTGATTTTATTTTCCTCGGGTGTTTCGGAAGGTAGCTGGGAGATGCAGATCGGAGGAGGAGGAGAAGAAGAAGAAGAGAAGAAGAAGAGGAAGAAAAGGAAGAAGAGGAAGAACAAGAGGAAGGAGAAGAGGAGGAGGAGAGGAGGAGGAGGAGCTTGGATTTATACCCCCCCTTCACTACCCAAAGGACTCTCAGAGGGGCTTACAAACTCCTTTCCCTTCCCCTCCACACAACAGACACCCTGTGAGGTAGGAGAAGAAGAAGAAGAAGAAGAAGAAGAAGAAGAAGAAGAAGAAGAAGAAGAAGAAGAAGAAGAAGAAGAAGAAGAAGAAGAGGAAGAAGAAAAGGAGATTGAATTTATACCCCCCCTTCACTACCCAAAGGA